ATCTAATTATTTGAGCTGGCAGTTTCAATTTTATTCGGCGCCACGGGTATTAAATATTTTATGCTTTAGACATTTTACTATTGTACTAACAAATATGATATATTTAAGTACTTGATATCTAATTGAAACATCAAATTTAAATTACTGATAATTCAGGAGAATTTACATTTTTTTATTTGCTACGTTAAAAAAATCGTTTATAGTTCGTTTAGTTTATTGAGTAATTACTAATTACTTATATTTGTATTACAAGTATAAAATATCTTCACAAAAGTAAGATAGCTAAATATACATATACATAAAGTACAGATTAAAGTACAAGTAGAATTTTAAAATTTTGTCTTGATATAATATGCATACTATACAATTACGTTTTCATGATTAATAATTATATTTTAATGTTCAAAAATAAATTTTAAATTTAATTAATATTGTTAGTAAATAGTTTTTATTTTTTAAATTGTTGGTATTATATACTATAAAATATATTAGTTTAATAAATAATGATATAACCGTACCTCAACTATTTAGAACTTTTCAAAGATATTGAAATTGTTATTCTTTTTCTTTGTTTTAATATTAATAATTTAAGACAATGATATTCGCTATGATTAAAATACCATGAACAGTGTTTTGTTTTGTTGTCATATGATATAATTTGCACCATTGTCAAACGAGATCCGGACCTTTTCCATTGCTGTTTTGTATTTATATATGTGCGTATAATTCTTATTGTCAACTTGAAGCATCAATGCATTAACTTTTTACTCAGTACAATTGATCTGAAAAAATCTTTTTTTCAAACCAAAAATTTGTTAACTGTTTTATGGGAATCTCTTAGTACAGATACACCGAATGCTGATCGTACGCCTATTGAAATATTTATATATTGAATCATTTATTTTTCTGTTAAATAATGTAATTGATAAAGCCTTATAAGCTAAATACAAGTTCAAGGGTAATCGTTCAATAATTAGTTAAAATATTAAAATTAATACAATTTTTAAAATTTATTGTTGAAAATCAAATTCTCTAAATTTTTTTAAAGCCGTTTTATATTTGTTAAATATATGTACTGTATTTATTGCTACATAAAAATATTGATTTTATTTATACATCACAGACACGTGGTTGATAAATCTATATTAATATAAAATATATGTATAATTGATAAGCTAATAAATTATTTTAATGTGATAGAATTGAAATAACATTTGTAAAAAAAAATTTAAAAAAGTATTTGATTTTAAATACAGATACTCTTAAAAGTATTTAATCTACTACGTCCAAATATTTTTTCAAAATTATTTAAAATTTGTATTTGACTATTTGAAAATAATTTAAATACTTTATTCAATACTTTTACTCGAGTACTTTACAAGAACGCAGCTGAGTGTTAACAACAATTTTACATAAATTTAAATGTACAATATTTAACATTATCCACTATTGACTAATGTTAAAATAATTCCGGGTAATGTTGTAATTTAATTTTTATAAGATAAAAAATACACATTTGTCAAAATGCAAGACTTATATTAACTTTATCCGGCTAATTTTGAATAAATTAAAATTTAATTATTATTTTTATCATTATAAATCGTATATAATTCACTTTTATTGAAGTAGCTGGCCACAACAAATAAGATTAAACAACTATATAGTTCGTTGGTTAATCTGTTGATTAATCGAATGTTTGATTGTTTGTGATTTGAAGACGTTCGAATTATATAATTCTACGACTTGTACGGATACTATAAGAAACTCTACAGAGATTTTTTCAATATTCTCAATTGTTCAACAATTATTGTTCAACAATTATATTCTATTTCTATAATACATCGGACAGTGCTATAATTTAATGCGATGGATTCCACTAGCATGATTTGTGAAGAATCTACTGCCACGAAATCATTGAAGAGAAATATAGCCATGTATTGCATGAACGTGATGAGGAAACGCACGATCGATGAACAGCTCGGTGATTTATCGGCAATCATGAATTGTTCGTTGGATCTGATAATTTTGTACCGTGAAACCGGATTGGAAGTCAGTTACCGAATTGGTTCGCAAATCGCTTCGGTGAACGGTTTAGACGAATCGGTGCGTATATATTATATATAATTACTGTATAGTGCAGGGATGGGCAACTCAAAGTAGGTAGAGAGTCAATGTATATAATTTTAAAATCTTGCGGACCAGAATAATGAAAGTAAAAAATAAAAAAGTTATTCAAACTGACAATCAACATTTACTTTATATAATTTAATTTTACGATTAAACCAATAGTATACTTACACAAAACCTATAGCTATGGAAGCTCTAAAAAAAAAGTACGCGAGCCGTCAGTTTCCCATTGCTTGTATAACGAATACCGAAACAGATTGATATCGACTGTTTATATTTTTCAATCTAATCAACTGTTTTCACTAGACCTGCGTGCGCCAGTGCAAGCGATATGTTTTGCACAAGCTTCAGGTGTTCTGCGGCTACACCAAAAACGCGGTACAGACATCGGACTGGCAAGCCCGAAGTGACAAGAGTCTCGAATCGAGTAGTGAGTCGCAAGACGTTTACTCCGAGGTCAGTGAAATGATTACAATGCGTTTTAAAATGTAATCACTGTTATTAACTATTAGTTGTTTTTGAACACACGTGTTTGCTTGCTCAGATCGAATTGTGCAAGGAACGAGTGGCTGGAAAAGCAACGAGGAAAGCGTTAGACGAGAATATCGTACTGGTCGACCCCGAGATGGACATTCCGAGTGAACTGTGCGACTATATGAAAAGTAATAAATTGCCACTGGTACTTACAATCAGTTATTTTCCAACGGAATGGAAAATGATCTTCGAATGCGGACCGTACGGCGCTTCAACCAATGGTTCCGTATACTCGGTAAGTGTTTGGAGTACTTATCTTAATGGTAAACATACTATAATTAATGTTTTACAATACGTCGATCATTTGTAGACGTGCATGCAGCAGTGGAAAACACTA